ATCATATCTCCCTGCCAGCTGAAAACTGTCTGATCTATCTCTTCCTTAACTCCTTTCCCACAGGGGAACTATGTAGCTTCCTGTGTATTCTGGGACTTTCACCAAAACGGTGAGATTACACACCTCCAGGAACTCCTGAGAAACTGTTATTAGACCTAATGAAATGTGTGATCTGTCTAATGTCTTAATTAATGTCTTTTAATTCCTATGTGTTTTGGATTTTCTAGGAGGTTTAGGAGGCTGGAATCACAATGGCTGCTATGTCAAGAACAGCACAGAGAATGAAACCATCTGCAGCTGCAATCACCTGACAAGCTTTGCTGTACTACTGGTAAGTATCCCAGTGTGTGGGATTTTCTGCAGAAATGTCCACATCTTTTATCTAATTAGCGTTTCACATCATGTCTAATGAACATTTATTAAGTCAGAAAGATGCTTGATATCTAAATACACGGAGCACAAAGAGTGATGAGCACAGGCCTCAACATTGGATTTTTATTTGGCCTGCCAACATTTTCACTTAAATTTACATTTACATAAAAAAATGTTTAGCTTTACTAATTTTTTTTAAACGTTTTTATAACTGTCAGGAATACACATACTGTACATAAACTGTATATACTATAAATCAGTGAGATTTAAAAGAAGTCTCTTATGCTCACTCAGGCTGCATTTATTTGATCAAAGCAGCAGGAAAACGTCTCGGGTTACTTATGTAACCATGGTTCCCTGAGTAGGGAACGAGACACTGCGTCCTCTAGGGGTCGCTATGGGGGACGCCTCGTCGTGACCCGTGTCTGAAGCATACATTGAAAAAGCACCAACTCGTTGGCCGGCGACAGCCATGACGTCACTACCGGTGCGACTAGAGTATAAATCGGCGCCGGGAGCTACACATCATTCACTTCTTCTTCTGAAGCTTGCGTCCGCAGCATGGCAAGAAACCTAGAGGACGCAGTGTCTCGTTCCCTACTCAGGGAACCATGGTTACATAAGTAACCCGAGACGTTCCCTTTCATGGGAACTTCGAACTGCGTCCTCTAGGGGTCGCTATGGGGAACGGTATACCCACGCCACCATGCTGAGGGGAGTGCAAGCCAGAACCATGGCGAGCACTAAATACCAACTCTACCGGACGCAGTTCGAAGTTCCCATGAAAGGGAACCAGTAATATTATGAAATATTACTAATTAAATAACTCTTTTGTATTTTAATATAGGTAATTTATTTATGTGATGACAAAGCTGAATTTTCAGTCTTCAGAGTTATTTAATCCTTCAGAAATCATTATAATATGCTTATTTGGTGCTTAAGACACATTTCGTATTGTTATTGATGTTGAAAACAATTGTGCTGCTTAAGGATTTTTTGAATAGAAGGTTAAAAAGAACAGAATTTATTTGAAACATAAAAAATTTACAATATTACAGTCACTTTTGATTTATTCTTGCTGAATAAAAGTTTTAATTTCTTTCAAAAAGTCTTACTGACCCTAAAATACCAATTGGGGCGGGGGGGGGGGGGGAAAAAAAAAAAAAAAAAAAAACAAGGCATATTTCCCTGTTGTACAGTGGAGTGGTCCAAGGCGTTGGAGAACTTTGTTTGCAACAAGGAATATTTTAAAGCTTTTTAGTCTTTACTTTTTTATATTTCCCCCTCTCCCCAAATCTCACTCTACCCTTGTGGCTATTCTTGGAGCTGTGAAAATGGGTGGCTAAATTGAATAATACAGAAAATGTCAAATTTGTCTCACATATTTTTTTTGCGTCAGTATTAACCTTTTCATTTGTTTTTGTTTTGAGTTTTGCATTTTTATAGACATGCCTGTGAAATAAAGGCAGCTGGTTCAGGGGTCAAAGCGGGGTTCAGGGAATAGGAATGAGAGTTTTTAAATTTTGGCACCTTGATGACTCCGCATTATACCACGGACTACCATGTAGTAGTACAAAAACAGAATGACCAACAATTAATCCACTACAGTTTACAACACTAAAGTGATTTTTTTTTCTCTAATAACAAGCCAGTTTAATTTGCAATGCCAAGTTTAAAACCGCAATTTTAAAGGTCCTGGGAACTTTAAACACAACATTTTTTTTAGCTGTAACCATCTGAATTCAGTAGGAAAACAATTTGCATATGCTTTATGGTGTATTGCTGGTTCTATGAGCTTATTAAAGTGTAAGTATGTATAAACAGGTAGTGTACCATATACTTTAAACTGGCCATCCTTATTTTTAAGCCCTGGATTAGCTATACATTACACATCTCTGGGATTGTTGTACAGTACAAAGCTTTCATTAATCTTTTGCAACTTGTTTTGTCTTTAAAGAACATTAGCCAGCAAAGATTACCTGATTTACAGGACAAAATCCTTACCTTCATCACTTACATCGGATGTGGGGTGTCCGCCATCTTTCTCTCGGTTACTCTGCTCACCTACCTCGCATTTGAGTGAGTAACATCCTCCTTCTCAGTGTTTATAAGCCCTAAAATGAGATTAATCAAAAACCTCTGTGATGTATCTTATAATATGCGACAAAATTATTCTCAACTGTAAACAAAAATGGACTTCCATCTGTAATACCCAAAGAACATTTATTTACCATTTCTTCTGTTTCATTTCAGCAAAATCCGACGTGACATCCCTTCAAAGATCTTGATCCATTTGTGTTTCAGCCTGCTCTTGCTGAACCTGGTGTTCTTGTTGGACTCGTGGCTGGCGTTGTACCGAGATGCTGAAGGCCTGTGCATTTCCACAGCCTTCTTCCTGCACTACTTCCTGTTGGTCTCCTTCACCTGGATGGGGCTGGAGGCTCTGCATATGTACCTGGCTATCATCAAAGTCTTCAACAAATTCATGTCCAGATACATGCTAAAATTTTCCCTGGTAGGCTGGGGTGAGTTCAGCTGCTAAATTAGCCATGTGGTTTGTGGCTGTAGATGATTCCTGATTTAATTTCATGATGTGTTCTTGCAGGAGTCCCTTTGGTTGTTGTCATTATTGTGATTGCGGTAAACAAAGAGAACTATGGCCGATTTTCTGGTGGAACTAACGATTTGTAAGTATTCAGCTCATCATTTAAAGGTATCAGTCTTCATTATGTCATCGCTCCTAATGTTTCTATATTTCTCTTTTAGTTGTTGGCTGAACAATAAAATAGCGTTCTACGTGGCTGTTGTGGCGTACTTTTGTATCATATTTGTGTTGAACCTGGCCATGTTTGTGGTGGTGATGATCCATCTGAGACGAATCAAGCGCCGAAACCCTCACAATAATCAGTATCGCAGCAGCTTGCATGACCTACGAAGCGTTGCGGGACTCACTATCCTGCTCGGGCTTACATGGGGCTTCGCCTTCTTCGCATGGGGACCTGTCCATTTGGCCTTCACGTACATGTTTACCATTTTAAATTCCCTACAGGGTGAGAAACAATGGTATTATTTTTTTCTTTTATTCAAAAAGTCTACATAATAGAGTTGGAAGTATAGTTTTTTTTTTGTGTAATGCAAGTACCTTGGTCAATTGATGGAAAAAGGGCATTTTTTTATTGTTCTCTTTCTCTCTCAGGATTTTTTATTTTTATTTTCCACTGCGCTCTGAAGGAAAATGTCCGTAAACAGTGGAGAATGTACCTCTGCTGTGTCAGTTTACGATTGGCTGAAAATTTAGGTATCGCCACATTACTGACCAAACTAAAAACTAGCTGCAGATTACCTTTAATAGATGTTTTATGGGTGTCTCCTTTCAACCTCTCAAATGTTTTTTTTCTGCAGAGTGGAGTCAGACAGCCACAAAGAGCAACCACAATAAAAAGACTTCGATTGTGACGGCAGATTCAGGGATCCACAGTGGACCTCGAAGCTCAGTGAGCAGCGATGACTCAGTGCCGTCCCAAGGCATCGGTCTGTTCTGGCAAGAAATGTGCAAAGGCATTTTATACAAGTCAAGACTGTTTTTAACTCTTTAATTTCACATTACAGGCTCACCAATGGATGACAGTCTGATCATATCAGGGGAAATGAATGGCGATGTGGTCCTCAACGAGATGAACAGTCAAATCCGTCCACGATTCAGATCTGAATAGCTTTTAGAAGAGGATTATAAACGCAGACAGGACTCTATGTGAAGAAACAGACCACTAAATATTCTGTTTCTGTCATGCCTGAAAAAAATGTATTACCAAGATGAGAATCTAGTGACTCAGCTCGAAAACAAATGTCTTTTGTCATCAGTTTGTCTGAATGAATGTTACATGCAGTAAGGCTTTCAGCTTTATAGCCAGACATTTTGTTATTGGTTATTGAATCAGGCTGCTCACAGCTGAGTAATGAATAGCAAGAGCATGCACCTATGGGAGTCAATGCGTAAAAGTATTTCCATGTACTGAGAAATGAGGAAATGGTATATTTTGCTTTTGCAGCGTCAAGGGTTTTAAACTCCTATATATTTTCAGCAAACAGTATTAAACAACTCTTCTGCAAATAATAAATAATAAAATAAAGCTAAGATGATGCAAGTGCATCAAATAGTACTTTTAAAAAAGTTTTATAATAGATTTAGGACTACATTTAAAATGAAGGAAAAAAGGGGATTTCTCTTTTAATCTTAAATTCTGTCTTAAAAACCATATAAATCTGTCAGACGTGTTGTAGAAAAACTGAGATATGTCCATTGTCCATATAGTTGTTTATTAGTTTTTCCACATTTTGTAGTCATTCTCAGTTTTGTAATTCTCATAAGAGGAGGAAATATGACGTTAATATGCTAATGTATCAAAACTTTGTTACATGTAATCAAATGTGCTTTCTGTGTACTGTATAAAACAGCATTTGTTTGAAATTATTTTGTGAGTAGTATAAGGGTTCTGTTTAGGCAAAATATAGTATAATAGTAAAATTGTTTATCATGTTTTGATTGATATATATATAATTTAAAAAATTTGTAGTTTTATGAATTTATTAAAATTTTAACATTTGTATATTTTAGGTAGATTAAGGAATCTGAGATTCTAACAATAAATTATATATTTTTGTCTGTGATGCAGTTTTGTGTGTGTGTGTGTGTGTAAGAGAGAGAGAGAGTTTGAATTTTATCACTGTGGCATGTGATCACATTCAAACCGGTTTTCCGAGCCGGATTTCTGGATAACATTCTCTCCCGCTTTAGGAGTAGATGCTCCAGTAGATGATATTGAAGAGAAAGTATGCCAAAGGAAAGAATATTCTGGAATAGGAGTCGATCTTGTAACTGTTGCTCATGATATGGTTGACACTTTGGCGGATAGAACGCCGCCGACGGAGACGCGTGCCCAGGACGGGAGGGAGGGCGGGTGTTGTGGAGTTCTGGGAGGACATGCATGTGTCTGTGTTTAGGTCAGAGAGTGGAAATGCGCTGAGCTCTATGTCCTCATCATGAAAGCAGCCGTCAAACGCCATGGCTTGAGATGCATCGTATCCCGAGAGCTGTAGGAGACAAAAACAATTCACTTTTTCAGGAATTGGACGTTCAAGAAATAGTGCACCAAAAATGTAAATTCTCTTGCTCCAAAATAAAAAAAATTATGTCTATGGCAGAGATCTGATGATCAAGGACCAAAGACATGTTGATGTTATTCAGGTCCACAAGGGCCATATTTGAGATATATTAATTATTTAAATCAAGATTACCCATGAATAATCACTCACATTTTGTTCCGTTCACAGACAGCTATCATATAGGTTAGGAATTATATTGCACATGATTAATATGGATTACTTCTTTTTTTTTTGTCCTTTTGGAACTTGACAGTGTGGATAAAAATATATCTGATTTATTACAAAAAATATTTAATATTTATTTATTTATTAAAAAGCATTTTTTTATGCTGTCTTAAGTCCATTTTCCATTTATAATTTTTATTTTGCATTTATTGAGAGATTACCATCTTTGATCAACAGGGGGAGACATTTTGATATTTTGCTGTTTTTTCTTGGTATGTCGAGAGAATGCATCATTACACCGAAAATATTGAAAATTTTAAGGAAGTTTATAGTGAATGAATTGAAAAACTTTGGATGTTTAAGGGAACTTTGACCTTTAGTTGCTCGAGTTTCTTCATTTCCTCCTTAGTAGTGAAGTAGTTGACAGCTGCGTACTCGATGACGGACAGAAACACAAACAGGAAGCTAGTCCACAAATAGATGTCCACCGCTTTCACATATGATACCTGAGGCATGGACGCTGACACTCCCGTAATTATGGTGGACATAGTCAACACTGTAGTGATGCCTGGATTGAACACATGCAGAGAGACACACATCTGATTTTACTGTACTCTGATGCAGTCATATTTATCATTGTTCAGAAAATTGAAATGCAGTTCAGAGGTTGAAATCCAGTCATTTCAATAAGAATCCACACAACTGGGAATTTTTTGAAATGGCAAAAGATTTCCTTACACAGATTTCTCAACAGGTTCTTTTGGCCACGTTGACCAACAGAAAGCTGCTTGGTTTGAAAGTGACTTCTGAGTGAGCTATGCTTAAAGCATCATTACACAATTGGCACTAGACAAATGACCTTTCCGTCCCAAGAAATTTCGCTAACGTGACCACACATTTAGACTGATTTACAAAGTTACAAAATGAGGTGCTGTCTAGATCAACATACTTGTTGATTCTTCCCAACCAATCAGATGTTAGGGCCAGCGACCGTGAAAGCAAAAGTGTGAAACTTCTGTGACACTATCCCTAACAATCACCGCCAATCAGAACACATTTTGTAGGATATTGGACCCATGAGATTTCATAATGGGCGGAGTTACCCAGTGTGAAGGCTATGTTCACACAGCAGCAGATTACACATGTCAGTACTGTTTTCATGTGAAAAACATGGTTGCACTCACACATAGTTTGGTTATAAACGAGAGTGACAAATGCATTTTCTGTTGATCCAGGACCATGTCCTACTTGGCTAAATCACGTTTGTGCAGGTTTGTTTCTTATCGTCTTGGGAAAAACATTTCGACTTTGGTAAGCAACTAAGAGACAACTAAGCAACCTAAACCTTCACCAGACCACACTGGGCTGCTGTCCAACAACATTAAAAATAGAGGTTCCAAAAGGGCGTTTTCACAGTGATCCCATAGAAGAACCATTTCTGAGCAGTTTTTGAACTAACATTTCCACCATTGCATGTGTTTGGATATGTGTTACGCACCAAGCGACACACGGGCCGGTACCGCCCGCCTGTCGATCCAAAAAGACACCCAGGACAGCACAACCATCAGCATTGTAGGAAAATAAGTTTGCAGCATAAAGAAGAATATATGTCTCCTGAGGATAAAGTTGATGTAGAGCCTGTTGTACCAGCCTGACAGAAACACATGTAAAGTCAGGAATTAATGACCTACTGGTATATTACCAAACAGGACAAAGAGATAAGATTTGTCATAGTATAAATACACAGTAGGAGAGAGAGGAAAGCGTGCCATACCCGTGCTGCTGTACAGCGCCAGACCATGTGAGGGGTGAAACTCTTCAATGAAGAATTGAGAGAGGGCAATCTCATCTGTCCTCAAAGAGTCATTACCATTTTTCCAGTACAACATGAGGTCGTTCTCAGCATATGCATCTGAATGGGATACAGGAGAGAAGCCAAAAGATTAAGAAAAGAGGCAAAAGATTGTGCGCCCTGTTCAGTTCATGTTCATATACATGGATAATTTGAAGTGTGCTATTATGGCACCATTTCATTAATGTTCTGGATTCCAACAGCATTTGTGGCATAATGTTGGTTCCTGAAGAAAGTCATTCCAAATCGGTCCTCATCTGATTCAAAATAGGCAGTTGTAGCGAGGCACATACAATCAAATGAAATGGGTCCATGTACTCAATGGGTTTAAAAGTAGCCTGCATAAATATAGCTATTTTTAGATGTAATTTTAAAACACTAGCATTTGCTTTAGTAAGTAACAGTGATGTTGTCATTAACTAAAACTAAACCTATAACAAAAAGATTTGAAAAAAGGCAAAAGCACAAAACTAAAAAAAGAAAAAAGAAAAATGAAAATTTTAAATAAAAGCCAATTCAATATATTTATAAATATAATAATAATAATACAAAAATAACACTAAGTAACAGACATTTTTCTTGATAAATATCCTGTTTCACTCAGTTTTATGTGACATTATGTGAAGAAATAGGTTGCACTAGCAATTCACAATGATTTTACTGCTATTATGTGTAGCATATTGTAAATTTGTAAAGTTATAAATCATCATTTTTGGAATGGAACTACCTTTTTTCTAGTTATTTGATACTAATATAATTCAAAGTGAAAAGTTGCAAGGTTTACAGGCTTCACGTAACATTTAAAAGACCTTGAACAGAAAATGTCAGGAAGCACTCGTCTCATGCCAGCAAATATAATGTTTAAGTCGTGCTGCTATACTTTCACAATAGTACATATTCTAACATTTATTTCATTACTCCATATACTTTCACTGTAAGCACCTTTCCATTACCATTACTTAACTGTCTAAATGGTGTCTAAAAAGTTGCAAGTTTGAATCCACAATTGCCATGTTTTCCCAACCTGTAAAATATCAGCTAAAAAAAGAAACAATGTAGGTGGGACTCAATAAAAATTACACAAGAACTGAAGATGTTTCTAGGTGGACACGCACAGCTCTCCAATTCCAGGGAACAGTTCTGAGTGTCCAGTGGAAATCTACTGAAGTCCATTGAGCACAGAGAAGTAACTGTAATCCTACAATAAAGAGAATAGTCCATTAATAAAAATTACATATGAAGTAATGAATCATCAGAGGTTGCAGGCATCTACCTGACGCTGTAAAGGATGTTGCCGTCTGGGTAAACCCTCAGCATTATGTTCTCCATGGTGGTATCATGGATGAAGGAGCGCTTGGAATGGACAAAAAAGACATCAGGTTTCCAGATCTTCTTTATCAGACGGCCGTCGAATGTGCGGCTCAGATTGTTACTGGAGGGAAAAGCCAACCGTTCATCCTTCCAATAATGCCTCAGGTACAGGGTCATTGTGAAGTCCTGAAAGAGACCTTTAGATTTTACTGACCTTAAGACATATATGACAACTTATTAAGGGCAACAGTGCAGGGCAGTGACTGGCATTTTGGTGCAAAAAAAATGGTTTTAGCATATACCAGAAAGACCTTTTATATTGCTGAGATTTATTTTGTAGGAAGCCGAAGGCCTGCTTTTACAAGACCAACATTTGTTTAATTTTGTAAATATTGAAATATTGAATATTGAAGTTTGCAAAGACCACTTTTATATATATAATTAAGAACTGAGAATCTGAGGTTTGTATTGAGATTACTGAAATAATCGCATAATGACTTTATTCCAAATATTTATTCATTAGAAGTACTAAAAGAATCATTAATGGAACTTTTAAAGAACTAAAACCATTACTGTATTTACACAAAAAGAGAATGTGGACTTTTACCATGTTTACTTCAGAGATGCTGTCTAAACTCTCCACCTGCACATCAATGCCCACAGGGATGGCAGATCCTGCAGAGCAGAAGACACGATACATTTGCATATTGGTTCAGGAGGACAACAGTAATGCCTTTGATATCAACTTAGAGAGAAACCGCCTCTGTTGTTCCTACAGAGAGAGCATATGGAGCTCAAAATGTTACTCTAATCCTATTTGTCCCATCATTAATTAACAGTGGTCCACTGAATGGAAAGCATTCAAAGCCTGGTTCCACTTCTCAGTTTTCTTCAATCATGTAAAAGAAAGCCTAATCACCAATAAACTACTGTCTTATCTAAACCTTATCTATATCTTTGTCTTCCTGCTTCCTCTTTTACAGTTAAAGCACTGGTAGATTAGATTAGATTAGTTAGGGGTTGGATGAGACCAGATTGAGGATTTAACTGTGGAGGCCCTTCTGAAAAAGTAGTTTGCTTAATTGTATTAAACTTCAAATCTTATATTTAAAAAACAAATAAGATTAAAGATTGTAGTTGCAGATAATATGAAGGGCCTCTCAAGTGTACTTAAAGAGAGCGACTAGAGTTTCTCAACACACTTAAGTACTTAGCAAAATGTTCATAAATTCCATGTCATTATTTAATTAAAACCTCAAACAATAACTTTACAATAGCAGAACAACAATCTGAGGTGATTGTTAGTGGATATGTACAGTCACTTTCCAAGTATATGTACTGTTTTATAAATAAAATTCAGTCAACTGAATAAACTTAATTTAATACAATATACTGTTAAATATTTTGCTTATATTTATGTTTATGCTATCTTGGTTTAAAAAAGGCACTTGCTATGATAACTGATATACTGCAATGACATTCATATGTTCAAATATGTGTGAAAATGGACTATGAGTGGCATCTTGCACTTTTCCATCTGTTTTAACAGGCCTGTGATGTAATCCAGATTACTGTCCACCAAAGCACATCTGTGTCCTCAACACCCATTGTCTAATTTGTGTTTGGCACAAATGAAATAGTACAGTCCATTTCTAATCAGGTTTATTAAAAAGAATACTCTAATAGTGATTTTCAAGGTGGAGATGAAAACTGATAATTGGAGCAAATAAACAGTGAGTCCTGACCTCCAAAACCAGGCCTCATGGCAAAGTCGTGGTCTTCGATTCTTAGCAGCTGTTCAGTTTTGATTAGGAGGGACTTAGTGCTGTCCTTTCTCTTTAATTTGTAGTCAATCCGTCTGAAAATTTAGAAAAAAGGGTCAGGAGAAAAACACACACAGGCCATTATTGCACTTCAGTGGCATCTCAACAGGAGGGAATAATGGCAAAATTGTCCAGGGCACTGTGAGTAGGAGACCCTTGCATTACAGAGAGAGAACTAAAACATGTTTTAATCATTTGCCTGACCTGTTTCCATGTCAGAACGTTACTCTAAATATCTGCCTCAGTGCTCCAGCATCTGTAATACGAAAATAATTACTCAGCCATTAGAGGAATGATTTATAAAAAGCAGCTTGTCGTACAACAGTGGTCGTGTGTGCCAGCTTGTGAAAATGAGCTGCAGTTTGGAGCAGTTCCAGAAGCCTCCTGAGCAAGTCTTTCTCCGATCCCTGAGAGATGAGACATGAAATATGCCAAAAACACAGCAGTAACTAGTGAAGGTCAGTCGTAGACATACAATGTTTCCTCTTACATAGCCTCTCCGTCTGCGTGCTTTAATTGAAACACCAAATATACTGTCAATCATGCTGTGCTCATTATATGGCAAAGTTAATTGCACACTGAAGTGCAATTACAAAATGAAACCTCAAACTGAATGCAGAACCACACAACCACTAATGGCTGTGTGATGGACTCATTACGCAATCATGCAAACAAAAACACTAATGACACAATGCATGCTGCTGTACACCTCTGTGATTATCTGACAAATTAAAAAGTAAGAAATACAAGAATAAAAAAAGAAATACATATAACTATAGTTAAATAAATGCATGTTTAACCTCATATTAACCTCTTTCTAAAAACAGAGATCACCATGATAAAGTGTTTATAAATATTCAGTGCAATGACACATTATGCATTAACAAAAACTACCTTGAAAACCTGGCTGACACTGTAAAAAAGCTTTTTAGTAAACTGCAGGCATGACTTTAATGCCAAACAGCAGTTTGGCTGCGCGCCATTCTCCACTATGAAAGGAACAACCAGATGATGGCACCAAGATGGTTTTAATTACAGAATGAAAGAATATTCTCACTCCCGGGGTTGTGTGTGACTCATTACTTTGTGGTAATATACAACCACTAACAACAGATTAAAGCCACACTTTATTCCTCATGTAGACAGATATTACAGAGACAATTCAATGATTCACATGTTCATTACTTTAAACTAAATAGACTATAATACTCTATAAACTATATAAATATTATACTAAAATAAAATAAAACTGTAAGCATATTTTATTTCAGCTAGTTGACAAGCCAACTTTTTTCATTTTCGTTTAGATTAATTACCACTAAAATAACTAAACCTAAATGAACTATAAATGAATAAACAAAAAGTAAAACTATAGACATATTTAAAAAAAATAAAAAATAAAAACCAAAACTTTCACTAAAATTTAAGTGAAATAATAATAATAATGTAAACATTAACAATGTTACTAAAATAATACAGATTCTCACAATCAGAGGCAACTTATCTACCTTGTAATTTCCAATATAGCACACCTAAGTGGTTAATCAGAAATCCCCCAATGAAACACTAATTTCCAGTAACCCACATGCTAAGCAACACAGAAACCCTTCAAAACTGGTTCTGGTGTCCTCCACTCTAATTAAACCCCCTATTTACGCTTTCCTAATTACTGCCCATCTGCTCACACACTGAACCATGCTGGCAAATGACAAACTAGCAACACTGATCACTGATCTAATATTTAAATACTATTACATGTCTAAAAGTCCAAACAAAGTAATTTTAGAGTTATTACAACTAACAATACATAAATGTTAAAATTTGCTGAAGATAAAAAAAAGTTAAATTGAATTATCAAAAAACCTACCATAATGTACACTACTGTTCAAAAGTTTGGGGTTGGTAAGATTTTTTTATATTTTTGAAAGAAGTCTCTTATGCTCACCATGAAGGTTGCATTTATTTAATCAAAAATACAATATTGTGAAATTACAATTTAAAATAATTTAATTATCTATAAAAAATTAAGATATTTTAAATTGTCATTTATTTCTGTGATGGCAAAGCTGAATTTTCAGAATCATTACTCCAGTCTTTAGTGTCACATGATCCTTCAGAAATCATTCTAATATGTTATTATTTGCTGCTCAAGAAACATTTCTTATTATTATCAATGTTGAAAACAGTTGTGCTGCCTAATATTCTTGTGGAAACCGTGATACATTTTTGTCAGAAGTCTTTATGAATATAAAGTTCATAAGAAATAGAAATCTTTTGTAACATTATAAATGTTATTGCTGTCACTTTTTCCATAAATTGTATTAATTACTTAAAAAGCATACTGACCCCAAACGTTTGATGTAAGTCAAAAGAATTTAAATATTCATTACTCACCCTCTGAATCTGTTTTTGCCATGCTCAGCCAAGTAAACATCCTTGTTTTTCTTCCGGTTATGGTAGGGGTTGTTGAGCAAGGTGACGGGCCAGAGACAAGCGAGGCACAGCAGCCTGAGAGTCAGCAGGACCAGCTTCATGTCCAGATATGATGATGGAAGACTTTCTCTTCGTCTGTAGTATGGGTCCAGAAATCTTCCACGGAGCCAAGACGGGATGGTTCCTGGGTCCTGGCCATCCCAAGCAAACCTCAGCTGAGAGGGCGCTTGGAAATGTTACCGTTTCTGCTGATGTTCCCACATCTCCCAGTACAATCGCAAATCTGAAATCTAGTTTGTTTGATCGAATTAGAGCATATATTCAGCATCCATCACCACATACTTCTTCAGATACAGCATGTGTCTGGTTGCTGTTGTCGACACGCTCTGGCTCAGTGGTGCTTTGTAACCCAAACATAAATCAATAGGAATTTATACGGTAATAAAAGAATGACATTAATTCCTCAAATCCTCTTATGTGTAGCTGGTGGATGTTCCCTTAACCTACACAGTGGGATGGGACCATCTCTAATCGGGATTTCCACATGCCAGGAGTTATAGCTTTATGCCCTCACTGTTGAAGATAAACTTGTCATTCCTGTCCACTCGTGTTCATACACTTCATTCGCTGATGCTGAGGCAGAAAGCATACAAAGAGAACAAATAAGACACAATAAGATTAACCTAAACATCAGAGTGACATGTTGCATTGTCGTATGGTGATCCTGTCATTGTCCTCTTGTTCACCTTCTTTCAAGAAAATAGCATTGGTATCACAGATGTAGTGCAGATAAAGAATCTGTGAATAAATATTACAGCAAATGAACATTTGAAGGTAGTAGTGCTGGTTAAAAACATTGCATTTGTGTTTTGTAGAGCGCCACTCTGGCATCAGCTGATGATCTGCTCCAGTTTCAGGCAGATTCCTTCATTAGTTATTATTATAAAAAGCTCAGGGACTAACCAATCAAATCACATTAATGCAATCAATTACATTACAGAGCATAGAGAGGGGCGGGGGGAGGGGGAGAGAGCAAGATCATAGGATGGACAGATTCAAAGAGGGGGGAAAAAATCATAAACCAATCGTGGACTCCATGTGTCCAGTAATCCCAGTGCATTGTTGGACTGGCGGATTACGGCCTGATCAGCGGTAGAGACAAACTACATCACAGATACTGTAGCTGTATTGCGTTTGACTGGTTAGCTAAACATATCACAAGAGGAACTTGACAACTTATCAAAGAGTAAAAAAAGAGAGCTCACTTCCTGTAAAAAAAAAAATTTAATCAGATTAACCTTGGCCCTTAGTCTCATGGCGCCCAGCAAAAAAAAAAAAAAAAAAAGTTTGTTTGTTTATAATTAAACCATACAATATATATAATACATATTTTTTGTAAAACATCAAGCATTGCAATAATAGGAGTAATTATTTAACAGATGTTTATAGGAATATTTTTATTACCCTATTGGTGCCACCCCAACAAGTGAAAACAAATCATTAAATCATTAAACCATTAAATATTGATAATGTTTACTTGAAATGTACATTACAGTTTAAAAGTTTTGGGTCTGTAATTTTTTAAGACATCAATAATGTATTTACAGTGCTGTTCTTTTGAACCTTCTATTCATCAAATAATCCTAAAAGGGAAGCATCATGGTTTCCAAAGAAATATGAAGCAGCTCAGCAGTTTTCAACACTGATAATAAAAAGAAGTGTTCCCCTACGGGAACGCCTCCAGCGTGACCACGCTCTGAATCACATGTGTAATCAGTCCAATGGATGGGCGAGACGTCACGGGCGGGGTGACGTAGCGACCAGGAAGTATAAAAGCACGTGCGGTGAAACCGGCATCAGCTTTCTGTCATTCAGCAAGCGCTCTGTGTGTGTCAGTCTTATTTGGTGTTGTCTGTCCATTATCACTCTTTATTTTACCAATACGAGTGTAGACAAACATACGGCTAGAGCCGGCAGCATCTCAGGCTGTGTGTTCTTCCCTGCCCGCGCTACATTTCGGGTGGGGATACACACAGTTTGTGTGTTGTCTGCTTGGGAGAGGCCTGGTGCTGGGAGCTCCTGGTCGCCGCATATGCTAGCGATGGATGCATCTTTCTCTGGTTGGGCCTGTGGAGCGGCCACCATCTCACGTGGCGCATAAGTTGACTGGAGATGCTGGCCGTGTTTCTAGCTTTGAAACACTTCCTCCCAGGCCTAAGAGATCGCTATGTGTTTCTGCACACCGACAACACAGCAGTGGTCTTTTATATATGTGGGGGCAGACATCCAGTCGAGGCAGGGGCCGAGGCCCGGGGAATAGATGCCTCACCCCGAGGGGGAGAAGCAGACTTGGAGAGTCTTTGGCCAGGCTCAGGTGGACTTGTTTGCGACTCACACTGATATCGCACGGTCCCCTCTGGTTCTCTCTCTGACTCATCCAGCTCCACTGGGACTGGATGCCATGGTACAGACATGGCCGAGGCTTCGTCTGTACACCTTTCCCCTGATTGTTCTACTCCCGGGAGTTCTGGAGAGAGTGCACTGGAACGAGGTCAGTTGACTGCTAGTAGCCCCGTTCTGGCCGGGCCGAGTATGGTTCTCGGACCTGATTCCTCTCCTCGACGGCGCTCCATGGGAGATTCCCGTCAGGAGTGATCTCCTCTCACAGGAGGAGGGCGCGCCCCCACCCGGAGCTGTGGAAGCTGTGGGTGTGGCCTCTGAGGAGGCACAACTCATAGCTTCTGGTCTCTCAACCGAGGTTGTTGAGACCATCCTCCATCCAGAGCTCCCTCTATGAGGAAACTGTAGTTCTTGGTGCGGAGACCGCCAGCTCGACCCAGCTAACTGCCCGCTTGGTACATTTCTGGAGTTCCTGTAGGCCTGTTTAGCCGCAGGGTTGACCCACTCCACCCAAGAGGTCTTCGTGGTGGACATTGCGGCCTACCACGCCCCTCTCGGTGGCCATTCAGTGGGAAGATACCCTCTTCTTACACGTTTCCTCCGCGGTGCGCTGAGGCTGAGGCATCCGGTCAGGGAAGCTTATGCTAAGTGGTGTATCAGGATGCTATTCCATTTCCATAGCCTTGAGCCCTCTGATCTCCCCTCTCCTTCGGGGGTCAAGGCTCACTCCTCCAGAAGTTGGCCTTCAGGACGGCGGGCCCCGCCTACTTTAGCCATTCCTGGCTCCCTTTTCTCTCGCCTTAGTTGTGCTCTTCCACACTAGACAGGGATTTGCAAGTCTGGCGGCGTGGGCATTCTCGTTCTCGTAGCGTTTCGACGTAGCTCGAGTTCCTGAAGGGGAACGTCTCCAGGTTACGCATGTAACCATGGTTCCCTGAAGGGAACGAGACGCTGCTTCTCAGGACCATACTTCCGGCATCCCTGTCAGCGCTTGCTTCACTCCTAGAAGCTGACGCCGGTTTCACCGCACGTGCTTTTATACTTCCTGGTCGCTACGTCACTCCGCCCGTGACGTCTCGCCCATCCATTGGACTAATTACACATGTGATTCAGAGCGTGGTCACGCTGGAGGCGTTCCCGTAGCGTTTCGACGCAGCGTCTCATTCTCTTCGGGGAACCATGGTTACATACGTAACCTGGAGACGTTTCTTAAGCACTAAATCAGCACATTAGATTGATTTCTGAAGGATCATGTGACATTGGAGACTGGAGTAATGGCTGAAAATATAATATTCATAGAATGACTACCGTATTTTTTCCAAAAGTCAAAAAGTGTTCAGAAAATCCACCCATTCATGTATCAGCACAAAGTGGCAGGCCTATGCTGATACTATGGGAGTATTTATTCTAAAATAAACTAGTCCGTCTAGTCTAGTTCACTGTCACAGAAGAAGCTTCCCTCGACAATCAAAACATACTCACGTGAGTCTGCCTTTTGAATCATATCAACCACAACACAGTACATAATAAACGGTTAAAGCCTTAGAGAGCCTGAGACAGTATGACATTATTACTTTTCTAATAGCAAAGAGACTAGAGAGACATTTTATTATCATCATCTACTATATGCTTTTGAGATTTGTTTTAATCTAAAGTGTGTAAAAAATTAGTAATGCTGTATTAATTTAATCGCTTCTTGTGCTTCTATATAGAAGTGTGTGAGTTGTTTTGTTAAATTTACTGTAATTTCAGCCCCTTTATTAACCCCCCTGGTGCCGTGTGAAGCACTTTTTATTATGAATGCGTGCACTTTATTTGACGACTTGTGGACTGTTCAACTGCAACACCCGCTGACTGCAATAATAGAGCTTGGAATAGCCAGGACAATTTTTAATATAACTCCGACTGGATTTGTCTGAAAGAAGAAAGTCATATACACCTAGGATGCCTCGAGGTGTGAGTAAAACACAGTCTAATTTTCATTTTTGGGTGAACTAACCCTTTAAGCAGGCCAACAGTGTAGTTCAGAATCTCTAGAACATTTTTCATATGATTTCCTGGTCTAAACTGAACAATTCATTGTCTCAGAAACACCACAAGGTCATTAAATGGTTTGAAATATGAAAGTGTTAAACTAAACTAAACACTGCTGAGACCTATAGCATATTTTTTCATCTGTGTTACTTACATTAACAGACATATTTGGTAAAAACATTTAAATGACTTGTTCTTAAAGGGGTCATCGGATGCCCATTTTCCACAAGTTGATATGATTTTTCAGATGTCGGGAGTAAATGACGACTGCTATGTTCATTATTACATCCAACAACAGAACACCTCAATCTCTTAGGAGTCATTCTTGTCTACATCTGCTCCGGCAGTGAAACAATGGCGAACTGATGACAGCTCACTCAGGGCGGGTCTAAGGTAAGACACCAGTTCAGTCTGTGGTGAAACGTTACTGTCAATCAAACTATCGTGGGAGGGGCCTGTTTTTGTGACGCCACACAGACAGGCATCTGAGATCGGCTCGATTTGAGAAAGGGGTAGATTTTAGTAGATTAAAAAAAAACACTGAGTGGATTTTTATCATTATAAGGTGGTTGTGTACACACACTGCTAACACACATTTCAGTTCAAACTACTTGTAAAAGTGCATGTAGCATCCGATGACCCCTTTAAGAAAAGAATAAGTGCATAAATTCTGGCACCTTTTTTTAGTAAAATCAGACCAAGGAATCAAAACAAAAGTGTCTTGACAGACAAAACATTTGCCTGACTAATTGCCTGATGTTTATCATCACCTGGGAAACCAGCATTTCAGCTCTGTTTTTCTCCTATGAACTAAATAGTTTAAGGTCAAATTTGGAGATCTCAAGATGGACTCCAGAAACAAGAACAGATCGTGCCCTCCCATGAATGATGGTTAACTATACTAACCATAAAATAACTGATCGAAGATTAAACAAGACAAAGTATTTGTCACCTTGATGTCCTTATAAAATTGTTTTTGTTCACCTCAGGTGTGAGAGAAATCATTGTTTTACACTGATTAGTGTTTAAAACCTCACGTTTTCCACTTTACCACACCTCTAGATGTTCAGGTAACCTGCACGTTCTCAGAAGACTGTGTCCTACCCTGTGTCTTTGAAGCAGTTGGAGATGAGACCATATACTGGTTCAGACAAAATGTCCCAATCCATAGTTCTAAACAGGGAAGCGGCCAGTTAGAT